GACACAGTTCAAGAACTTTAGCTAAAGGCTCTCCTTTTCAGCCCTGGCAAGCTGTAGAACCTTGGGAAAAGTTCCTTGGGGTTTGTTTTGTGGTGAATGGCGCATACTAACTCAGAGAACAGAATACTAAGTGATAAATAAATGACTTGTCAGTACTGACAACTTCCTATTCTCAAACAAACAGAGTAAGGACAGGAGTAATTTCTGAGCAAACAGGAACAGAACTGATCAAGAGGTTAGAACCAGCAGCCTAGCTTAGCATAGTGGAAAGACATTGGACCAGAGGACTTAGACCTGAATCCTGGCTCTGTTGTCATTGTTCAATAGTTTTCGGTCACATCTAACTCTTTAGAACCCCGTTTTTAGTTTTCTTGGCTGAGATACTGGAGGGCTTTGCCATTTTCTTCTTCAGCTCATTTTGCAGATGAGGAAACTGAGGCAAAGAAGGTTAAGTGACTTGCTCAGGGGTCACATAGTTAGGAAGTATCTGAGACCAAATTTGAATTCAGGAAGATGAGTCTTCCTGACTCCAGGCTCAGTGCTCTATCCACTGTACCACCTAGCTGCCCAAATTCCTGGCTTTACTGTTGTCTGAATTGGTGTCTTGTCTTGTTTCCTTCTCTACAAAAAGAAGAGGTTGAACTAGAGGATTTCTAAGCCCCTTATAACTCCAAAAGTATAATTTGAGAAGGATGGCTTGGCTCCTGCCCGCCCAATCACCAGCTAAAAACATTGCCTCAGATTCATCAATATATCTTCATTCTCACCAGTTTTGAAAGATTTTTCTCTCTGTAAGAGTTCACTTTTAAAATGCAAAAATATCTAGGCGTTATCACACCTTAGTTATCAGCCAACATTTCAATTATCAGTTTATACCTTGTCAAGTATTAATTAACAGCCAGCTGAAACCAAAAATGGGACACAGAATAGAATTTTGACTTTTTTTTTTTTTGAATGTGGCTCAGGAGAGACATTTGGTAAAGAAATATCCTGAAAGCAGAAAAGGGTTACTAATACAAAAGACAGAAAGGACAGCAGTTATGAATTTCACCTACTTCACAATTTGGCCTGAGTTGAATCACTAACAGAAGACTGCATGTGTACCATATGGAAGGAAAAGATTTGAAACCAAAGAGGAATAACAAAAGTATCATGACTTACCAGAACTCATGGCAGAATGAGCATGGCCCAGAACACAATGAGATGACTACAGAATATCAAGGACAACAAAATAGACCTTAAGCAACTTTTATACTAAACATTTTTAAGTTTTGTAATTTGTAATGAAAATAAGAATTTGCAATAAAATTTGTAATAAAAATTTTGAAATAAAACTTGGTAATAAATATGTGTAATATTTGTAATCTATAATAAAAATTGTAATAAATTTGTAACAAAAATAAGAAAAAAGGAAAGACTAGGTGTGAGGGGATCATGAGAGAGGAGGTACCAAGAACAAAGCTAGATGTTATATAAACAGAGCAAACTGGATCTATTTAACAATGGAACAGAGCGCCTAATTAGACAGGAAAATTCTTGTCATTAAAAGTATTAGAGCAAAGGCTAGACAACCATCCAGTTAGAAATAGATTCCTACCTAGTAGTGGAAGAATAGACTAAATGAGTTCTTAGAAACAGATGCTGAAGGGGATTTGGGAAACTGAGACACTAATACACTGTTGGTGGAACTGTGAACTGATCCATTTTGGAGAGCAATCTGGAATTATGCCCAAAGAGTTGTATAACTGCGTATACCCTTTGACCCAGTAATACCACTACTAGGTCTGTTTCTCACGGTGATCAGGGAAAAAGGAAAAGAACCTATATGTTCTACAATATTTAAAGCAACTCTCTTTGTGGTGGCAAAGAACTGGAATTAGAGGGAGTGTCCATCAATTAGGGAATGGTTGAGTAAGTGGCATATGGTTGTGATAGAATACTACTATGCCACAAGAAATGACAAGTAGGTTGATTTTAGAAAAACACAGAAAGACTTGCATGAAATAATGAAAAGTGAAATGAGCAGAACCAAGAGAATATTGTATACAGTGACAGCAATATTGTTCAAAGAATAACTGTGAATGACTAAGCTATTCTATTATAAATATTCAAATCAACCACAAAGGACCTATGAAGGAAGATGTTAGTTACCTTCAGAGAAAGAATTGGTAAATGGAAGTATGCATAGCACAGTTAGATACATAGATAGATATAGATAGATAGACAGACAGAAAGACAGACAGACATAGATGTAGATATAGACACAGCCATACATAGATATAGCTATAGCTATAGATGTAAATGTAGACATATACGTAGACATAGACATAGATATAGATATTATCTATGTCAAATGGTGGTCTTTTCTAGTGTGGGGTGAGGAAGGAGGGAGGGAGACAGTTTGGAACTTAAAATGTAACAAAAAATTTAATTTAATTAAAAAAAAAGAAGAAGCAGTCTGGTACAGTACAGGCAACATGGGACAGTGGAAGAGAAGGACCATGGCCTGCCTTTGGAGTCAAAAGACTTAGATTGTAATAATGACTTCACTCTGTTCTAACTGTGTAACCCTAGGTAAGTCTTTTGTTTCCTGTGGTATTAAGTTTCCTCATCTCTAAAATTAGATAGGTAGCTGTGAGGCTAAGGAGTCGTAAATTCATGTGAGTATCAATCTTTGTTATACATGTATTACTATTTCTCAAATATATACAGGCACTATTGTATGTAATAAACTTCAAATTCATTTAAACATGGTCCTTCATTCATGGTAGCTTCTTGCCACTTTGTATCTTCTAACAGACAACTACAAATATGTGAGGATCCATGAGATTGGTTTTTTTTTTAATTTGTGAGGAGTTCTCATTCCTGAAAAAGTTGGGAATCGTTGGACCAATAATGATTAAAAAAAATAATAATAGCTAGGGGCAGCTAGGTGGCACAGTGAATAGAGTGCCAGGCCTGCAATCAGGGAGACCTGAGTTAAAATCTGGCCTCAGATACTTACTAGCTGTGTGACTCTGGGCAAGTCACTTAACCCTATTTGCTTTAGTTTCCTCAGCTGTGAAATGAGCTGGGGAAGGAAATGGCAAACCACTCCAGCATCTTTGCCAATAAAGCCTAAATGAGATTATGAAGAGTTGGACACAACTGAAATGACTGAATAATGACAAATATTTACATAGCACTTTAAGGTTTGCAAAGGGCTTTACAAAAGTTATCTTCTTTGATCCTCATAACAAGAGGAAGAGAATAAGCATTTATTTATAAAACACCTACTATGTGCCAAGCACTGTGCTAAGTGCTTTACAATTATTATCTTATGTGGTCTCTGCATCAACCCTGCAAGGTAGGTGTTATTATTACCCCAATTTCCCAGTTGAGGAAATTGAGGCAAACAGAGGTTAAATTAATTACCCAGGCCACATAAGATCCTAAGTGTCTAAAGTCACATTTGAACTCAGGTCTTCCTAACTCCAGGCTCAGTGCTCCATCCACTGTGGCACCTAGCTGCCTCAAATAACTCAGTAACGTAGGTATTATTATTATCACCATTTTATAGATGAGAAAATCGAGTAATTTAAGGGGAGAGACAGACAAACAGAGAGATACACAGAGAGACAGAGATAGAGACATAGAGACAGAGAAAGAGACAGAGAGAAAGAAACAGAGATGATTTCTAAGGGTCCTCCCCACTCTAAAGTTTTATATCCTTTCCCATTCTAAGATTCTCTGAAAGTGGGGAAACACTTTTGGTTTTTACTACATTCATTCATTCATTCAATTAACACTGCATGGCCCCGTAGTGAGGAGAAGGGTGCCCACTGTGCCTCTAGGGTGAATTTTCCTTTCCATTACCACCCTGTTGTGCTCCTGAACATCAGGTCCTCCAGGGAGCCTTTTCCTCTTCACTTGAGGACTGCTCCAGTTCCTACCATCCCAATACACTGATTGGTTCTCAGATTGTTTTATTCAACAACCTCTATGAGGCCCCCATAACCCTCTCTTCACCATATTGCTCAAAGGAAAAGAAAAAAAAATGCATCAGCACGCTGTTATAAAGTCAGGAGAGAGGGGAAAGGAAGCAGCGTTTTACTCCAATTCATTTACTTCAAAAGCAAAATGAGAGCTATGTGTTTTTGTTCTGTTTTGTTTACCCTATTAAAGCTTAGAATGCCAGGGCTAGGTAGAGAGCAGAAAAGACAGCAGGAGAGAGGAGCAGATGGAAAGGAGATCAGATCCTAGGATTTACAATTAGAAATGAACCCTAGAGATTATGCTGTCCAACCACCTTTATCTTATAGGTGAAGAAATGTGAAGCCCAGATAGGCAAAGGGGCTTGCTGGCATTCACATAGGTAACAGGCAGCAGAGACAGTATATGAAACCAAATTTAGGAAAAAATCTAGTCTAATGGGATGCTCCTGGAGTTCGTGACCTTTTTCGATTCGCATCTTTATCTCCAGACACCAAGTGTTCGTTTGGTTTGCTCAATAAGATTAAGGCTAAGGACAGCCTTCCTTCTTCGATCTATAATGCAGTTTAGGCACATCCTAATGCTTCCACTCTATATTCCAATCAATTGAGAAAAGCGAGACAAATAGAGGTTCTTCATCTATTATATTCCATCTACCCTGCCCCCCCCCACCATATGCCTTTGCATAGTCTATCCTTACATTCCTGAAATGTTTTCTTTTCCTCACTTTTGCCTCTTAAAAACCCTAGCTCCTTTCAAGGCTCGGTTCAATTATTTCCTCTTCCTTGAGGCTTTGTCTAATTCCCTCAATTTTTAATTCTCACTTTAATCTCACTTTTTAATGCATATCCCCAGTGCTTAGAACATAGTAGGAGCATCATAAATGATTGCTGATTGATTTATTGCTTGACCCAAAAATTATTAATCACATTGGATAAAGAAAATATCAAGAATAAAGTGGGCAGTTGCTCAGAAGTTAGCCAGGGCACCAGCTGATTTTTTTTCTGCCTCACAATGTTGCTAGGATATCAGGATGTCAACAGAATGAAACGCTACCATCATGAGGATAAAAAGGAAAGACCAAGAAGGGAACTGAGCTGCAGCTCATGAATTTAAAAAAAATTTCAGAGGAAAGTTAACTTGTAAAACAAGGTAAGTTTATTAGAATAATTTCTCAAATGTTATGTAGGTAACATATATATCTTCCCAAGTGTTTCCTTCAGAATTCATTGGCTATGAGCCGTTGGGTTACTAAAAAGAGAAACATATTTCCTCAACAATGACCTAGGAAAAATTTGTATGATATAAGAATTAGCTTTCCCAGGAAAGAAAATGTAGCCAGAGATCCTTGAACTGCAGGAGCAGAGAAGTGTTTTTGGCTCTGAAAATATTTCACCTCTGCTCTAAAGGACTGGAAAATGGAGAAGGAATGTTGAGATGATACAGATGCCTGTTGGAGGGAGGTTTGAATCAGAAAGTCTTTAAAGGAAAATGTATCACAGTCAGCATGGTGTCCATAGTCCACTCCAAAAGAGAGCAGCTATAATAAAACATTTCTAGTTTAATTTACAATTTTCTGTCATGGATACAGGATACAAGTGCATTCTTTTTTTTTCCCTAGCCTCAGAATTACAAGTGGACTCAAAATCTAAGCACTGGGTCTTCTCTTCCCAGGCAATTGTACCATCAATTGGCAGACTTCCTAAGTACTAACTCTATTGTGTTGATAAAAGGTAATGATATCCTCTATTCAGCTCGATCTCATTTATAACAGGTAAGTCTGCAGCATAGAATTGATTTTTTTTTCCTTCAGTCCACTTGTAGGTGAGTTGTTTGTGATAGAATTTACGTTCTTGGAAGACGAGGATTGTTTCATTTTTATTTTTGTATCCCTAGCACCTAGCACAGGTGACACATAGTAGGAGCTTAATTAATGTTGTGGATTGATTGGTCAATAGTCTGAGGTGTTGCATCACAAAGAACACTTTGCATATTAATGCGTTTCTGCTGTATTCATTTCCTACTATTCAAAAGTAGAGACAAGGAAGGTAAAGCTTTAGGGGTAGGGATGGGGAGGGGTTGAATTTAATAGCTCTAATTCTTATACCTGGCTAGTCCTGTCAAAGCCAAAAGAGTGATTCCCAAGTCCTAAATCCATTCTCCCTTGCTCACCAAAAGACAGAAAAAGAAGAATCTCAAATGAAGATCATTAGAGAATTTTACCTGACTTACTTGCCTTAAGAGCAGCCAAGTCTTAGTCACAGCTACTTTGGACCTCTCATTCTGAATCTCTGAGAAAGAAAAAAAAGCAAAGGAAGATGGCCAGCTATTTGCAACTCATTCTAAGTTATCATAGGACAGCTAGGTGTCGCAGTGGATAGAGTACTGGTCTTGGAGTCAGGAAAGCTCATCTTCCTGAGTTCAAATCTGGCCTCAGGGATTTACTAGCTGTGTGAACCTGGGCAAGTCACTTAACCCTGTTTGCCTCAGTTTCCTCTTCTATAAAATGAACTGGAGAAGGAAATGGCAAACCACTCCATATCTTTGCAAGAAAACCCCAAATGGGGTCATGAAAGGGTTAGACATGACTCAACAACGATGACAACAACAAGTTATCATGCAGCCATACTCAGAAATGAGGAGTACCTATAGACTGTTGATCTCTGAGCCTTACTGGACCAGCCCCTAAAGGGAAACAGGAAGGGAAAGTGCCAAAATCAACCACATGATGGGGATGATGGGATGAACTGGCTCACCACCTCATGGGCTAATCATTAGATAATGGATAGAGTTACTTGCTCTTCCACATTCAGGTATATCCCAAAGGTGAAGGATCCATTCAAACTGAAATTTTATCATCTGTTTCTTTTGTTTTCCTTTCTAGCTATAGGAGAAAGATGAACCAAAACAAGAAAAAACATGTAGCATTCTGCTATCCTGTCCAAATTCCTAGCAAACAAATCCGTCCATCTCCTCGCCAACCAGTCTCTTCCTTCTTTTTGAATCCTGCAGTACTGAAGGTAGAGTCATAGAATTATGGAATGTTAGACTTGAAGGAACCTTAGAAGTAATGTCCAGTTACTCGCCAAATCCAGGAAACCTTTCTATAATGTCCTTGAAGAATGGTCATCCAGATTCTACTTAAACATACCTAGTAATAAGGAGCTCACTGGTGGGAAAGGGAAGGGAATAAGTATGTATATGGCACCTACTATGTGCCAGGCACTGTACGAAGCACTTTTTACAAATGTCTCATTTGGTCCTTACAAAAACCCTGCAAATTAGGCACTATTATTATCCTAATTTTACAGTTGAGGAAACTGAGGCAAGTAGAGGTTAAATGATTCACCCATGGTCACATAGTAAGTTCCTGAGGCTGGTTTTAAACTCACTTCTGACTCCAAGCCCAGTGCTTTATCCATTGTGTCACCAGCTGCTTCTGATACTTCATGAGGGAGACTGTTTCACTGGTAGATGATTGAACCATTTTTTAGTTTCATCAGCTAGGTCCCAACTAGTGCAAATAAAGAATCCCAAGAAATGATCAAATTACATGAATTTGAATTACATCTCTATATCAGGTTCAAACCAATTACTATGTTTTACATAATTAACTTCAAATAGTAACAATTCAAATTTCACCATGTCAGAGGATTCACTTTGCACACTAATTGGGTCACTAATTGGGACCTAGCTGTAATTCATTTAAAGCTGTTCTCAGAAATGTTGTGTGGGCAAAACCACAGCTTTTTTATATCTCGAGAAGAGTGACCAGCTCTGTGAGATCTGATGACTATCTGGGAAGTACTGAGACATCTGGGAAACCTGAATAAAACTCTGGGAAATCCAGTGGCTTCTAAAAACTTAACGACTGAAAGGGACTGTCATTCTATCCCCAGAGGAAATCCCAAGGACCTTAACCAAGTGCTAAAAATAAATCACAAATTTAATTCATGAATAATTGTTTTGCCTATACCTTATCTTTCTATACTCAGTTTTTCTGTCCATTGATGGCTGTTAGAAATCACTTGGAGAGGTACTTATCCTTTACTCTCGTGTTGATAGGTAACTCCTTGAGAAAGCCATCTAAAGTTATTGCTTTCACTGCCTCTCCTCTCTCTCCTGAACCCTTTGTACAATAGGGCTTCCAATCTCATAATTCAATGATATAATCCACTCCAAGGTTACCAAACATCTCCTAGCTTGCCAAATCTTTCATGAATCTTAATCCTTCTTTAGCTGTCTACAGCATTCGGCACTGCTGGTCACACTTTCCTAGATACTCTGCTGTCTGGCATTTTGTGCCATCATTCTCTCTTGGTTTTCTTCTTACCTATCTGATGGTTTCTTTTCAGTCTCCTTAGTTGAATCTTCATCCATGGGATATTTACTCACCGAGTGTCTCCCAACTCTCTTTCCTGGATTCTTCTGCCTTATACTATCTGACTTGGTGAGCTCCTATGCAAATGATTTCTCCATTTGTCCACTCCTACATCTGTACACACAGCCCTTGTCTTTCTGCTGAATTCCAGCTCTGCATCACTAAACTTTTGAACATCTCCAATTGAACGTACTTCAGGCATCTCAAACTCAACATGTCCACAACTGAAATTTTCTTTTCCTAAAACCCTCCCTTCTTCCCAACTTTCCTATTACTGAGGTGGACACCACTATCCTCCCACTCACTCAGGTTCACAATCTCAGCGTCATCCTTGGCTCTTCACTGTCACTTACCCCACACATATCTAATCTGTTGTCAAATATCATTTCTCCCTTCCCAGCATCACTTACATATGTCCCATTCTCTCTATTCCTGTAACCTCCACCCTCATCCATGCCTTCATCACCTGTTGCCTGGACCATTTCTATGGTCTTCCCATTGGTCTTCTTGTCTTAAGTCTGTACTTTCTCTAAGCCATCTATCCTCTACTCAACAGCCAAAATGATTTCCTAAAGCACTGATCTGAGTTGCTTCCTACTCATTAAACTCTAATAGTTTCCCATTACTTCCATGGCAAATATAAAGTCCTCCATCTGTGGTCTAAAGATCTTCATAACCTGTTCTCTTCTTACCTTTCTTTACTCTGAGCCCTCTTTGTACTCTGTGATCTGGGTGTACTGGCATACTTGCTGTTCCTCACACAGCACTCCATCTCTCTTCTCTATGGCTTTGCACTGGCTGTTCTTGGTGCCTGCAGTATAAGAGGACAGTCCCCTCACCTCTGCCTCTTAGCTTTTCCTTTAAGACTCAGCTAAAAAGTCACCTTCTGGAGGAAATCATTCCTGGTCACTCCAACTACTAGTTCCTTTGCTCCTGAGGTTATTTCTCAAATACTCTCTATATACCTTGTATATGTCTGCTTATTTTTATGTAGTTTTGCCTTTTGAATGTGAGCTTCTTGAAGGCAGGGACTGGTTTTGCCTTTCTTTGTATCATAATACTCAGTATCATGCTTGGCATACAGCAAGGACTTAATAAATGTTTATTAGCTGATTGATAAAAATTCTGTCCTCTTTCAAGAGCTCTTTCCTCCCAGATCTGGCTTGTCTTTCTATTAGATTGCTCACAGTTATCTCCCTATTCTGCATGTAAGGTAAGATTTATACTAAGATCTAAGCTCCTTTGTCCTACTGCCAAAATCAAATGAATTCCATTTGAGAGTCTCATTCACCTCGTAGAATGGAAGCTCCTGTTACTTTTCATTGACTTGTTCTTGCAGTTGGTATGGATCTAGTACATTTATGTAATGAAGTTTTAGTGCATGCCCAGATCCTCTATGATGGAGTCACTCACATTCCATTTATAAAGTTCTCAATAATTTTTAAAAAGCTAAATTGTTTATTCAGAGATGGAATTCATTCTCTTTCCCATATCATTACACATAGGTCACCCCCATATTGCTCCAGTTACTATCCATATTAGTTTCACTCAGGAAATAAATAGGTAGCTCATGCTCTGTAGTCTGAGCCATCAGGATCCCCTAACTACAGCAGGAAGCAGGGTCAAGAATACCCAGACTTCAAATCCAAGATTTGACTCCTAGTTCTGGGCACCAAACCCCAGAGGACATTTCTAACAAGAGGCAGAAGCAATTTGCCTAATCTCCTAATCCTAAATTCGTATAAAATTATCTTGCCTAACTATGGTTCAGGATTTTAGATCTGACCTCATAAGGACTCTGCTTAGTTTTTCGAGCCTTGAAATAAAATAGCTCAGCTTTTGCCCAGAGTTGAGACCCTGAGGCCATCTGATTTTGGCTAGTGCTCCCTGCTTCTGTATTGTTCCTTCAGCCAGCAGTGGGGCATACAAAACTATGACCAAAGAAAAGTTTTACTAATGGTTGGAATAAAGAGAATTTTTTTTAAAAAGGTGCTTCTCTCCAGCCACGCTCAGCATTCCCCCCCCAACCCGGACTCATTGTTCAGGTACTTTGCCCCAAGTCCAGGACTCGGTGAATAGACAATGTCATAGTGAAGCTCACCTCTTCCTCACATCGGGTCCTCTTTGCTGATCACCCCCTTTTGCTTCAGCTTTTCCCACACCAATCATGCCCTCTGGTCCTGAACAGCTCCTTCAGCTTACCTGTGGAAAATTCTAGCTGGGCCTGAAAGGGGTTCCATCATGGCCAGTGGCCAAGTCCACAAGACCAGGCTTCATTTCTGCTTGTCTCTGGCTTAGGCCACTAGCTGCCCTATTTCTCTTCATGGGAGGTGGGGGAGATGGACCTGTCTCAGTTGATGGGCTTATATACATATATACATGCACACATGCAATCTATTGGGTAGATCCAATTCTCCTCAAGGAGGGAGGGCTGCAATCTATTCCCTCTACACACCCACTTAAGGAAAGCTACAATGAAGTCTTAGACCATTCCTTTACTCCCAGGTTTATTACTCTGGATACCCTTCAGTGGGCAATCCCTACTTTAGGAATATCAGTGATCATTTTGAATCCATTCGATTTTTCACCTTGGGGGAATAAATTAACTGATTTTCTCCTGAAATGAGTTTAGTTGGCACAACAAGTAGTAAAAAGGGATTTATGAGGAACCTTCCAATTCTCAACGGCCCCATTTCAACACCCCAAAATGTGGCTACTAACAACCACTCCCTTACTTCTCTCACCGAGTTAAAAGATTATTCCCTTTCACACATTGTACATTTCAGACAAACTAGCTCAATTGCCTTGTTCTCCAAATTCAGAACGAAATCTCCTTCCCCTATATCTTTGCATAGTCTGTTTCCCATGCTTGGAATATACTCCCTCCTTACCTCCACTTTTAAAAAGCTTTGGCTTCCCTCAGAATTCAGTCCAGGTGTCATCTTCCGCCCAAAACCTTCCCTAATCTTCCCAGTCATTAATATTCGCTCCCTGCCCAAATTATTGTATATTCACTTACTTGTTTACGTGTATCATACAGTAAAATGAAAGCTCCTAGGCAAGAACTATTGGGGTTTTTTTTCCTGTTCTGCCTGACTTCTTAGTTCCTTGCACACAATAGGAACTTGATAAATGTTTGTTGAATTTAAAGTTGAATTGGACAAAGAGATTTCATTCAACAAGCATTTATTAAGGTTTACTGTGCTGCAAGGAATTATTGTGGTAGGGATTAAGAATACAAAGATAAAAATGAAAAATAGTCCCTATTTTCAAGAAGCCTACATTTGACTGGAGATAAAGCCTTAGAAAAGTCCTTTGCCCACATTTAACAACCTTTCGCTGCATATCTCAGGATTAGAGGATCATAAAAACATAAACAGATCTCCACAACCCCTCAGAGGCCATAGAGACTTGTCTTGAACCCCTTCTCCTTATGGACCTTCTTTTATTGTAAAATGGGCCAGTTAAAATTTGTTTAAGGAAACAAATGGAGGAAACTGTCCAAACTATTGTTTTTCCAATTTTACTTTGTAAAATATTTCAAACTTTTTGAGCAATAGTCTCATTTCTGTAGAATTCAGTTTAGAATTCATCACACTCATGCACCTCCAAATGTTGGTTCATCATAAGCTCTATTTTGCTCTACCAGGGCTTGAACCCATCACAACAACGCTACCTGAACAGCATTGCCAAAGTTTATGATTCCAAGCCCCAAAGGAAGAACCTGAAATGGCAGTATATTCTCAGTCTTCTCCAGAAATATAACCTAGGTAAGTCTTATTTACCCAACTATAGCAAGAACCTAAGGAAATCACTTGTATTCTGCAACTGAAGTCAAGTTTAGAGAAGAAAATCCCAGAAGCTTTTCCTTAGCCACTTAGGCCATAGTTTTAGAGTGGTTTGCTTGGCCAAGTGTCACTGTGGTGAACTAGAAGCAAAGTCTCAGGGGCCAAATTAGGAGAGTTTTTAGGAAGGGAATTATGAACTAAGAGAAAAGTAATGGTTGTATAAGTTGTTCAGTGCCCAGCTTAAATCCCACCTTCTCCATGAAGCCTTCTCTCACTCCCCTCCCCCTGCCCATGCCCTGAGATCCCTCCTCCAAAATCCTATAGCCCTTACATTCCCTATTGCTCACCTAGAAATTAGGTCACACCCTTGGTATTATTTGCTGCATTTATCCCAAAATAAAATGAGTTTAGGTTTTCCCCCCAAGTAGTTCAACTTAAAAATGGAGGACACATTAAATTTACACATATGTGCCATGTAAGAACAAATGAAAGTTAAGTGCTTAGTCACCTGATCTTATAAAATGGCATGGAATCCAATCAATCCAGAAGTTTCCATTCAGGTCAACACACAGTCTGTGACAGGTACTATGTTAGACACTAGGGCTACAAAAATGAAAAATGACCTAGTCCATTTCTTTAAGGTCAGGGAAAACAATACCAAATAACCATGATGCTAGGGAAAGATTGATAAATACAAAGGAGAAGTCCAGGGAATATGCTAAGAGAAATTTGAAAGTGGGGAGGGCAGGCAGGGGAGGTGATCATTTTAAGCATGGAGGAGGAGGAGCTCAAAGGAAGACTTCACTGGACAAGGCAGAATCCAAGTTGGACTTGAAGAAAAGTGGAGGCTTCAAAAGATAGATATGGAAGTCTAATTTAGCATTTCAAGCATGGGGGGACTGAAGGAGTAAAGGTATTGAATGGTATACTAGCCAAGTTTGTTGAGAAGGGAGGATAAGAAATAGGAATGGAGAATGATCCAGATGAGCGGAACATAGAAATGTGAAGGAAAGTAGTATTAGATAAGAGTGGGAAATAGGTTGGAGTCAAATTATAGAAGGCTTGAATGCCACGATTTATACTTTTTTCAGTGGACAATATGGATCCATTACGGATTTTTTTTTTTAGCAGAGAAATATTATTAGAGTGGTGCTATCCAAAGTTCCTTGGATAACATTATGGAGAATGATTGGATAGAGGTGACCAGACGACCAGTCAGTAGGTTCTTAGAACTGATGGTAGCCTTGACAATAAGAATAACACTATTTCTGGTCCTATAAACACATGAAGGCTTATAAAGCGGCAAAGAGGCAGTTGGTGCCTGTATTGAAAAGTACCTTTTTTTTTACAATCTTTAACCTTTGTTTGTCATTCCATTTATAGTTATTTGATACCTCCTCATTCAATTCAATTAAACAAATATCTATCAAGGTCTGTACTGAGAGAGGCAGCCTCTACTTTTGAGACTCAAGAAAGGAAAGCGTGGCTGGTGAGACCACTTCAAAGGTTTAGCGTCAGGCAGAGAGCTGAGGGAGTTCAATTCATCTGAGGTAGTTCAAGTCTTTATCTTCATAGTAAAGTTGGAATTGAAGAGTGTTACTGAATTTCAAATTCACCAGATAGAACCGAAGACACTCAAGTTTGAAAAGCTGACACTAGTGGAGACAGCAATGGAGTAGACAAAGCTGATAATTCTGAAGTGACAGTGACAAAATTGATGACAAGGCATGACGGATAAAAGCTGAACTAGCTGGTAATGAAACAAAAGAGAGTAAGATAAACTCAGGCAACTCATCATAAGAGAGGTTGTAACCTTCTTTTATACTGACTACACATCTAAACATTTTTAAATGTGTTAACTTTTATAGGGACCCTTCAAAAATTCCAAACTGTCTTTCTTTCACTCTGTCTTTTTATTTGCATGTCCTATCTCCCCAACTAAATGCCCCCTTGAGGAAAAGAGATTGTATGGATTTCTTTCTATCCTTAGGGCTTGTGTCTGGCCCTTAGTAGATGCTCAATACATGTTTGCTAAACTGTTGCTGTTTATGATCAACAGAATAAGAAACAGTGGCACTGATGTGAAGGATACAAAATAAATACAAGACATGGTCCCTGCCTTCAAGCACAGTACGGCCCTGGTGATAATTCAGAGGTCCCCACTGAAAGTATAAAGGGCATTCAGTTTCAGTGACAGATTTTAGGAAGTGTTTTGACAAGTTGGAGAACATCTTGTTAGGAATATTATGGAAAGAATTTCTGTGTGGTATGGATTAGATAGATGGCCTCTGGCCATGCTTCTGCAGAGATGCCCAAGATTCTCTTTGACACTCTGGCATTCTACAGAAAACTCCATGTGAATGTTGGCTGATATGCTATTACTTAGAGCTGTGTTTTCTCCCTACTTTTTGGCCCAGGTTATATTTCCAAAAAGGACGCCATGTCTTATGTGACTGCTATGGATCAGTATACTAAAAAAGGACCCGTCAAGTATAGAAGTAAAAACTGCAAGTCTCAGAAGACCCCTACTTTCACCTCTTCAAGAAAATCTCTGTCCTCACATGTATGTCCTATCATTAAGCACTGCTGTTAGTGGTCAAGGCTCTGAGCACATTTCAAGATGGAGTTAGCAATCATGATGTCATTGACTCCGTAAAAAGACCCTAAGCTACTTTAGGAACAATGTCTCTCCACTCTGTTCATGCTGATTGTGAAGTAGAGCCGTGGGGTTAATAGTTTTACCCATTGAGTTGTACTAATAAAGCATAGATTACAAACAAGGGGGCTTTTCATCTGCCTTGACCTTTGCCTGTGCAAGATGGTGGAATCGGGAGGTGTTAGGGAGGCCCAGGGAATAAACATATCTGTCTCTACATAAATTAGACCAGCAATTGTTGTACAATAAAACCACTTTTAAAGGTTGCAAAATGAACTGGTTCACTTAAATAGGGCCCTCCATGAATATTAAGAGCTTCGGGCACAGTCATTCCCTCCAAATCATAGAACTCTCAAGTTGGAAGGGAGTTGAGAAGCCTTTAGGTCCAACTCATAGGTTAGTAAGACTCCCTTCAAAAATGTACCTGAGGTGTTGTCATACCCCTTCCGCTCAAATACCTCCAGTGAAGAGGGTGCCTGTCCCAACACAACCCATCCCAATTCTAGGAAGTTATAACTGTTAGGAAGCTTTTTCCTTACATCCAGCCTTTCTCTTTTTGCGCTTTCTGGTCCCGTCCTTGACGGCCAGACAAAACAATTTCAACCCTACTTCTTCATGACAGCCCTTCAGATAGAGTGCTTACTGCAAAGTCTTTTTTTCCCCAGGCTGATCATCCAAAGTTCCTTCCGCTGACTCTCACATGGCATGAAGTTGAGACCCTTTACTTTTCTCATTACCCTCCCTTAGATGACCTGAAGCTTATCAATGTGCTGCCTAAACAGAAGCACCCAGAAATGAACACAGTATTCCAGATGTGGTTTGCCTAGGTCAAGGTGCAAGGCTACTATCCCCTCCCTGATAACAGACCCTCATACTTCTCAAAACGGACATTTTCAATAAAGTCTAAAACAGATCCAGCCATATTGCTGAGCTCTCTGGGTAATACAGGATGGTACATCCCATGCTCAGTATTTATGAGGCATTTTTCAAATGTGGGAAGTGTTGAGGAACTGGCACACTGACTGTTCTAAGCATCTAGAACATATTAACCAAGTGTAGCCAAGAAGAAAGAGATTTTCCTCCAAAAGTCATTGGACTCTGCATTTCCATGTTCTGCTTCTTCTTTTTCTACTCAGCAAGAATTAAAATTTGTTCATAAGCTTTTGCATCATCTTGACACTGGACTTATCAGTCTCCTCCAGCTGGATTGGCTCTGAGCTAGGGGTAATTGAACTTGCTTGGGGTGAGAAAACCCAGGGAGCTGTCACAGCTTTATGTCGATAGATCTGTGTTTCCACAAGCCTTCAGTTGGCCCCCTCAGCAGAACAAAGACAGAAACAAAGAGAAATTTTCTGAAGTCCTATCTTTTCAAGGTGCAGAGAAGGTGAAATCTTTTCAATCTGCCTATAAACATTCATTTTGATAAAAGAACTGAAGCAGTTATAAATCTAGAAAAACCTGGTCCTAGAACTGAGATCTAGTGGGCAGCTGGGTGGTACATTATGATATAGTGCCCAGCTTGGAGTCAGGAAGACTCATCTTTCAGAGTTCAAATCTGGCCTCAGACACTTCCTAGCTGTGTGATTCTGGACAAGTCACTTAACCCTATATGCCTCAGTTTCCTCATCTGTAAAATGAACTGGAGAAGGAAACAGCAAAGCACTACAGTATCTCTGCCAAGAAAACCCCAAAGGGTCACAAAGAGTCAGATACAACTGGAATAATTGAACAACAATGAGAAGAACTGAGGTCTTACGTGAATTAAGATACTATCATAAACAGAAGGTGTCATGGGATTTAGTTCTAGTTCTGCTACTTAGTAGCTGTGTGACCTGAGACAAATTATTTCAACTCTCTGAGCATGTTTCTTTATCTGTACAATGGGGACGGTAGTAGCTGCCCAAAAGAGGATTGTTTTCAGGATCAAATGAAATGTGCATAAAAAAAATGTGTGCATTGAAAGCTGTCCAATCCTATACGAATGTATTATTGTCTATGTGGGTGAAGGTGTTATGGCCTGCACATATGTGCCTGTAGAAGTAACACACCACTAAGGAAGCCTGAAAAAGTTAAAGGCGATAAAGGAAGTGAAGAAACTCCTTTATGTGGGTCACCAGCAGCCCACGAACATTCAGCATAGTTTCACAATAAAGAAAATAGGCATAAGGTGGGTGCCCAGCTTTCAAGGAGACATTGAGCATTTCCCCCAGTCTTGAAGTCTCACAGATAGAAGAGAAAGAAATGGGTGCCACTCGTCATTGCTGTCCATTTCTTTTTGGGAAACCTGATGGTTCCCATTTCTATATGGCTTTGACTTTTGAAAAGTACTGTTTTCACAACCTGTTTTTGAGGCAGATAGCTTAATTTTTATGACATTCCCACTTTACGTATGAAGAAAATGAGATAGATCCTAGCAATTAAATAATACTAATGGGTGAATAAACTGCCCTGGGTCACACAACTAGTAAGTCAGAGCTGGGACTTTGACACAGGTCTTCCCATTCCAAGGCCAGCAGTCTTTTAAGCTTCAGCAGGGAAGGGCATCGAAAAGAGGGGTCCATCATAGCAGCCAAAGGTATATACATCTGCCAAGTAACATTTCAAGACCAGTGTTAGCTCCCCTTTCATCTTGGATACTCAGGAAAAAGTATCTTTTTACCTTTCTTTTCTATGCTTCCTTCCTCCCTTTAAGCATGTTCACTCTTTTTTTTTGGGGGGGAATTGGGGTTACGTGACTTGCCCAGGGTCACACAGGTAGTAAGTATCAAGTGTTTGATCTGAGGCTGAATTTGAACTCAGGTCCTCCTGACTTCAGGGCCAGTGCTCTATCTACTGTGCCACCTAGCAGCCACTCATGCTCACTCTTTTATCTCAAATACCAAGTGCCCTCATGTAAGGTTCCTGTATCTCTTAATAGCTCAAAGAACTTGGGCAATATTTTAATACTCACCTCCTATACTTACCTCAACAGGCTTCGGACGTCTCCGGTGGCACCAGCTTCTTTAAACTGGAGAACACCCCCCACAGAACACGGGACAAAACAACTTTCAGTAGCTCCTCTTTATTCTTCCTCTCTTCTACCTCTACTCTTCCCCCTCCCTCCGTTGCTCTTTACTTATCTATTTTCTCCTCGTAAGCTCCAAATAAGCTCCCATTGGTCACCCTTTCTTACCTCCGCCCAGGCAAGCCACTGTACACCGCCCCGAAGATCTTGGCCTTGTGAGGAGCGCGTATCAAGAGTAGTGCTGACCAATCACTTACCCAGGATCGCCTCCTTCACCTCATGTCTTTTACATGATACCAGAGGTCCTCAGGTGACTACGTGCACTCCCTTAGGCTAAAGGCGGCAGGGGAGTCCGGGTCAGTCGGAACACACCCTACACCCTCATGCCTAACCCTTGACGCATCCAGTGACCCACATATACCATGCCCTATCGAGTCCTCTCCTCACAGATAGCATTCTGTAACCCCGACTTTTCCCCGCTCCACTACCCCAACCCACCAAAACTTGAATGAGGCAATGAGGCACAGCAAACAGATTACTGGCAGGGGAGTCAGGAAGACCTAGCTTCTCATCTTGCCTCTGACACCAGCTATAGGACCTCAAGTAAGTCAATTTACCCCTCTCAGTCTTCATTTCCTCACCTGTAAAATGGTGACAATAAAAACACCAACTTCATAAGTCAAATGAGATAATGTATGTGAAGCGCTTTTTAAGTCATGAAAAACCACTACACACCAATAAAAAGCATCTAGGTGGCACAGTGGATAAAGTGTCTGGCCTGGACTCAGGAAAACCTGAGTTCAAATCCAGTCTCAGACACTTACTAGCTGCATGACCCTGGGCAGGTCACTTAACCCTGTTTGCCTCAGTTTCCTCCTCTGTAAAATGAGCTGGAGAAGGAAATGGCAAACTATTTTAGTATCCTCACTAAGAAAACTCCAAATGGGGTCATGAAGAGTTGGACATGATTGAAACGACTAAAGAACAGCAACAAATGGTTCCCCCTAAGAATAGATAACCCATTGGTTAATTTGCTTTTTTTAAAAAAAGAGGAAAACCAAATTAAGAGAGTCAAAAAGGAAAAGGTGAATTCACCACCAATGAAAATGAAATCAAAACTATCATTAAGAACTATTTTGCCAATTATATGCCAATAAATCGGGCAATCTAAGTGAAATGGATGAATATTTACGAAAACATAAATTGCCCAGATTAACATAAGAGAAAATAAAATACTTAAATAATCCTATCTTAGAAAAAGAAATTGAACAAGTTATAAATGAGCTCCCTAAGAAAACATCCCTAGGACCAGATGGATTCACAAGTGAATTCTACCAAACATGTAAAGAACAATTCTAATACTGTATAAACTATTTGGGAAAATAGTCAAAGAAGGAGTCTTACCACATTCCTTTTGCAACACAAGTATAGTGCTGATGCCTAAACCAGGAAGAGCAAAACAGAGAAAGAAAACTATAGACTAATGAATACTGATGCAAAATTTTTAAATAAAATATTAGCAGAGATTACAGCAATATCACATGGATCATATAGTATGACCAGGTTGGACTTATGCCAGGAATACAGGGCTGGTTCAATATTAGGGAAACTATCAGTGTAATTGACCATATCAATGACAAAAACAACAAAAATCATATGATTATCTCAGAAAAAGCTTTTGACAAACTACAACACTTATTCCTATTAAAGACACTGTGAAACATAGGATTAAATGGAGATTTCCTTAAAATGGTAAGTAGTATCTATCTAAAACCATCAGTAAGCATTGTCTGTAATGAGGATAAATTAGAAGCCTTCCCAGTAAGATCAGGAGTGAAGCAAAGATGCCTATTATCACTACTATTATTCTATATTGTTCTAGAAAATTTACTTATAGCAATAAAAGAAGAAAAAGAAATTTGAATCAGAATAGGCAATGAGGAAACAAAACTATAGATATTTGCAGGTGGCATGATGATATACTTAGACAATCAACTAAAAAACTACTTGAAATAATTAACAATTTTAGCAAAGTTGCGGGATATAAAATAAACCCATATAAATCACTAGTATTTCTATGTATTATCAACAAAGTCCATCAAGAAGAAATAGAAAGAGAAA